AGAGAGAGCGACAGGGAAAGAGAGAGAGAGAAGAGAGAGAGAGAGAGAGAGAGAGAGAGAGAGAGAGAGAGAAATAGAGAGAGAGAGAAAGAGAGAGCTTTTGTCCGTGCCATTGGGCATTCTTAGCTGACTTCTGCTTTCATTTCCTTCTCTCCTCGCATCTTTTACAGACACATTCCAGAACGAATTTCTTTTTTTAGTTTTAATAGAGATTTTACGGCGCTCGCAACTGCATACGGTCATATGAGTGCCAGAAGATTAGAGGTGTCACAAGAGAGAAACAAACATAAAAAAGAAGAATGGGAGATAAGGACGATAGATGTTTGATAGGAAAGAACAAGCAAACCACACCAGAGCACCCGCCAACCACCCACAGTGTGAATTTTACTGGAAAATACTCATCAAAGGTGTGAAAAGATGCACAGTAGGCCTACAATCTCTCTATAATAACGACATCGTTGGGACCACACAAAAAATGTCGTTATAGAGAGTTGTCGTTATAGAGAGGCAACCAACAATAGATAATGAGGATTTCAAGGCCTCACGAGTGTTAACGCCCACCTTTCAAAAAGAGGTATGGCTAATTTTCGTACTAAGACCTTGAAGATGGTAAAACACGTGAGAACAAACTTCGGGAGCCCGCGATCATGGGACTATTGTTTTTTTTACCCAACTCTGATGTAAGATAAGGAAAAAATCGGGACCTGGGCACCATGTCGCTATACAGAGGATGTCGTTATATCGAATGTCGTTATAGAGAGGCTGCACTGTAACGGTAAATGTCGTTATAGAGAGGCTGCACTGTAACGGTAAATGTCGTTATAGAGAGGCTGCACTGTAACGGTAAATGTCGTTGTTACCAAGGGGACTCAAGCTTTGGAAGGCGCCAAACTTTGGCGGACATTTTCTCAGTAATCATCAGGCGACTCCCATTTTCTTCATTCACGAATTTCTCGACTTTCTTCCAAGATGGGTGTATTTTTTGTAAATGTTGCTATGTTTTGTTTTGGGTTGGGTTTTGGGTTTGTTTTTGGTTTGTTTGTTTGTTAGTTGTTGGTTTGTTGGGTTTTATTTGGTGGGAGGTTGGTTTTTTTGTTCTTCGTTTCACATTTTCCGCAAATGCTCTCATTATCGTAACTTTTTTTTTTCTTAAAATCCCCATCACCACCCTTCACCCCCACCCCACGCCTAAATTATTACCTCTCTCTCTCTCTCTCTCTCTCTCTCTCTCTCTCTCTCTCTCTCTCTCTCTCTCTCTCT